CCATTTCATAAGCCGACGAGAGGCATTTCGGTGAATCAAATTGAAAAATGCATTCCCATGAAATGGAGACAGAGCAACAAACAACCGTTGGATATCCAAAAGGAATGCAAATAGAAACCTTATTTCTCCCATGAAGTCATTTCAAGATTATATGACCAAACTGATAATTATATGGTTAATAGCCTTCTCGCAACGTTAAACGACTTTGCTAGCCAAGGTCACTTGTCCAAAGCCTTCAGGATTTTTTCGCTCATTCAAGGCCATGCGTTAGCATCTTCCTCTTGTGATTCTATTGCTGGATCATTGTCATCCCTGCTGTTATCTTGTACCAATCACAAGTTGCTTCCAGAAGGCAAACAGCTCCATGCCCAGGTAATAACTTGGGGTCTTCAAAATAACCGTGCATTGATCCCTAAACTAGTTTCTTACTATACGGCTTTCGTTTTTCTTGATGATGCTCATTTCATAGCTGCAGGCTCGAACATTTTGCATCCTTTACCTTGGAATGTCCTTATTTCATCACATGTCAATAAAGGGCATTTTGAGGAAGCTATATGTGCCTAAAAACAAATGGTTCACAAGGGAGTAAGGCCCAATCATTTCACCTACCCATCTGTTCTCAAAGCGTGTGCTGAGCAATCAACTCTTGATTTCGGAAGAGAAGTTCACAAATCTATCGATGCTAGCTCTCTCAGGTGGGACTTGTTTGTGCAGAATTCATTGGTATCCATGTATGCAAAGTGTGGCGATCTGGAAACCTCCCGTTGTATTTTCGAAACAATGCCGACTAGGGACCAAGTCTCATGGAACTCAATAATCTCAGGATATGCCTATAGAGATTTGTGGGATGAGGCTTTTAAGATTTTTGAAAGGATGAGAGCAACTCGTACGGACATAAACATCATAACATGGAACACTGTGGCTGGAGGTAGCTTGAAGACAGGCAATTTCAAGGGGGCTCTCGAATTGATTTCTCAGATTAGAGAAAGTGTTGGGCATCTTGATCCTGTGGCGGTTATAATTGGCTTAAATGCGTGCTCTCATATTCGTGCTCTGCCACAGGAAGAGAACTTCATGGATCGGCCATTCAAAATGCTTCCATTGACTATGATAATGTGAAAAATGCACTGATTACCATGTATTCCAGGTGTGGCTACCTTTCGCATGCGCATATTATGTTCAGATTGTCCGAAACTTAAAGCGTAGTTACCTGGAATTCGATCATATCCAGTTTTGAACAGTGGGACCATCCCGAAGAAGCCACGTATCTCTTTAAAGAACTGTTGCTTGTCGGCATTAAACCGAATTTCGTGACTCTTGCGGGGATTCTACCCCTTTGTGCCAGGGTGGCGAATCTGAGACACGGGAAAGAATTCCACTGCTACATTTCCAGGCGTGAAGAATTTCAGAGTCACCTGTTGCTTTGGAATTCTATTATAGATATGTATGCAAGGTCGGGTAAAGTTTCAACCGCCCGAAAATTGTTTGGTTTGCTCGAGAACAGAGATATAGTTTCGTACATGTCGATAATAGTTGGGTACGGCGTGGCAATGGTTGCTATTTTGTCAGGTTGTAGCCATTCAGGCCTCGTGGCTCAAGGCCAATTCTTCTTCGAAAAAATAGTGACTGTTTTTGGCATAAATCCCGATCTGGAGCATTATTCCTGCATGGCTGATCTATATGGGAGGGCCGGCTTGCTGAGGAAGGCAAAAGATATTATTCTAGGGATGCCTTACGACCCACCCCCCGAAATGTGGGCCACGCTCA